TTGAACCGGTGGGCTCAGGAAATTCTCTCACCTCAGCTTCCCAAAGTGCTGGGATTATAGGTATAAGCCACTGTGCCTGGATGAGATGCCTTTTTTTTTTTTTTTTTTTTTTTTGGTGAGGGGTTGGAGTCTCACTCTGTCATCCAAGCTGGAGTGTAGTGGCACACTCACAGCCACTGCAGCCTCATCTGCTGCTGGCTCAGGTGATCCTTATGCCTCAGCCTTCCAAATAACTGGAACTACAGGCATGTGCCATCACATCTGGCTAATTTTTTGATTTATTGTAGAGATGAAGTCTCGCAAAATTGCCCAGGTTGGTCTCAAATCCCTGGGCTCAGGCAATCCTCTCACCTCAGCCTCCCAAAGTACTAGGATTACAGGCATGAGCCACCACGCCTGACCAAGCTCAATTCTTAACAAGTTGATCAGGTTTGAACACAGTCCACTGCTTGCACTGAGCAAGAAGAAGGCGATATCTGAGCAAAGACAGTAACAAGGGAATTGGCCAAGCCAGGAAATCTTCCAGGAAGAGAGAATAGAAGGGCAAAGGCCCCAGGGGAGAGGCCAGTATGACTGGAATAGAGGGAATGACAGGGGCACAGAGGGTAGAGAGAGAAGACACACTAAGGATCTATGAGCCATTTTTCTAGATCATAGGCTTCTGTTCCAGGTGAAAATGAATGCCGCCACTTAGACTCAAGGGGGCAGGATCTGCCTTGGAGAAGGACCGCTATGGCTCTAGGTTGCAGGAACTCGGAAGGGAAGGGGTAGATGTGGCGGTAATCAATGGACTTCTAGTGCTCAGGCTGTAGGTATTTTAGAGGACAGAGCAAACAGAATTTCATGCAAGATGCGAGAGAAGGAGAAGCTTAAAGATGAGGCCAGGAGAGTCTGGCCTGAGCAACTGGCTGACGGGAAGTATCAACCATTGAGGTCAGGAAGTTGCCTGTACTACAGGTTTTAGGGGGAAATATTCTGGGTTTAGAATATATTGAGTAAGGCCAGGCTTGATAGCTCAAGTCTGTAATTCCACCACTTTGGGGAGGCCGAGGTGAGAGGACTGCCTGAGCCCATGGATTCAAGACCAGCCAGAGCAAATTGGCCAGACCTTATCTCCACATTTGGCCTTGCAAAACTGAAAACTGAAAGATCATGGTTCAACCCCTTCCTTTTGTAGCAGAGTGGGTTTCAGCAAATTGGCAGTGGGACAGCCTGCGTGAGGCCCAGGACGGGAGGGAGCTTGTGCTCAAGAAAGTGGAGGAAGGTCCAAGGCAAGGGGCTCCTTCAGCAGGGCCTGCGCAGGTCGCTGAGTGCCCCAGGTTGTGCTGAGCGGCTAGAGAATCTGAGGGAATGCTGTGTTGTGGGCCCTGTGTTGCCATCTGATTATACTTCACCAGACAGTTGAACAGCCGAGATTGCGGGGCCCTCTCTGGGTTTTTTAATGTTGGGTGCTAATCGGGAAGTGAATTTATTTATTTATTTATTTATTTATTTATTTATTTTTTGAGCTGGAATCTCACTCGGTCGCCCAGACTGGAGTGCAGTGGCCGCTTCCAGCCACCGCAGCCTCAACCTGCTGGGCTCCGGCGATCCTTCCGCCTCAGTCTTCCGAGTAGCCGTAATTACAGGCATGCGCTACCACGCCCGGCTGATTTTTTGATTTATTGTAGAGATGAGGTCTCGCCGCCCAGGCGGGTCTCGAACCCGCGGGCTCAGGCAATCCACTCACCTCAGCCTCCCAAAGGCGCGGGATTACAGGCTGAGCCACCGAGCTCGGCTGTGAATTTATTTTATGTATTTATTTTAAAATAGAGACCAGGGTCTTGTCATGCTGTCTGGGCTGGTCTCGAACTCCTCCCGCCTTGGCCTCCCAAAGTGCTGGGATTACTACAGATAGAAGCCACTGTGTCCAGCCAAGAAATGAATTTTTAAATGCCATAAAAATACTTTTACAGGCCAAATATACAATCTTTGGGTCACCAGTAGGTAGCAGTAGGCTTCAGGTCTCTTCAGAGTCCAGAGACTGCTGGCGTCAGGGGTTTCCATGCCCAGGCAACGGATGCCAAGGCCTTCCTTCTTCAGGAAGACCGTCATGCTGTAAGAAGGTGAGATATAGAGAAAACCACCACCCCGGAGGATGTTAATGCACCTTTAGACCAGAGGGGAGTTAATGAAGTACTGGGCAGGTTTACTTATGTTTATGTGGTGATGTAGTGATGAAGAGCTGAGGTCAAGGGCCAGAAGACTGTGCTCTAAGCTCACTTCACCTCCTCTAACCTCAGCTTCCTCCCTTCTCCATTAATGGTGGTTAACAATAGCACCAGCTTTAGGGGTTCTATGAGTTGTGTGTTTTTGTTTTGTTTTAGATACAGCATCCTGTTCTTTCACCAAGACTGGAGTGCAGTGGCACAATCCTAGCTCACTATACCTTGGATTTCTGGGCTCAAATTATCGTTTTGCCTCAGCCTTAGTCTCAGGTACCTAGGACTATAGCCATGCACAACCTCACCTAGCTCATTTTTAAATTTTTTTTTTTTGTAGGGACAAGGATCTTACTATGTTTCTCAGACTGGTCCCAAACACCTGGTCTCAAACAAACCTCCCTCCTTGGCCTCCCAAAGTACTGGGATTACAAGGCATGAGTCAACCTGCCTGCCTTGTGAATGAATGTGCATTCCTGGCCCAGAGCCTGCCATAAAGTAAATTCTCCAAAATCCTTAGCTAGTGTTTTTTGTGCCTATTTAGGTTTAGTTTTTGAAGTTTACTACAGCTCTTTGCCCATTCTACCATCCTTTAGGAGACAGAGCAATTAGTTTCAGTGGTATTTAGTGCTACAAATGAGAAAATCAAGGTTTGGAGAGGATTAGTAACTCTCAGGCCTACCCAGCTTTGTGAGTGGCAGAGCATGGATTTGACCCCAAGTCTAACTGTTGCTTTCTGACACATTTTTCAACATTCCTCCGTAAGATGTGGTCTGAGTCATCGTGCCAGCTCGCATGAATGGCTACGCACCATGAGTGACTCATATTCTTTCTCAATTCCTCTTGCTAATGTCCAACTTGGCACTGCGACTGCTGAGACTTGGGACGAACGGTTGTGGCCACTGAGCAGGAAAAGCCCTGCGGCCACCAGAGACCCAGTCGACTCTGGTCCAAGGGGCCAAGAGCAGGTGCACCTCTGCCCCTGGAAGGCCGGCTTTTGCTCGGGTGTGCTGCCACTGAGTCACAGTCTATCTCTGCTTCCTATTTCCTTTGCGTTTGCTCCTAATCTCCTGTGTCAGGACTTGGAGTCAATTTGCATGTGATGTGTGGGGAAGAAGCTGGGAAATAAGAGGCTGTTCCCTAGGACAGCTTTCCCTGTTCTTTGGAAAGCACACAGACTCCAGCCGCTGGGAACTGAGCCGCTGTGTGTGGTCTTCTCTCACCCCCAGCAGAGCAGGCTCTTGGGAGTCACCCAGTCAGGGAGAAAAGAGTCGTTGCCATCTGCAGATTGAGACGTGTTCAAGTATCATCTGCCGGGGGCACAGCCAACAGATCTGTCTCCTCATTTTCCTTCAGGCCGACTCCATAATGCATCATCAGGTGGTCATCTTAGGCTTCATCCTACTTCATCTAGGTAAGTGAGCACCTGGCATGGGTCTTGGAAGCCCAGAGGATGAGGGAAGGAAGGGTAGGTGAAGGTGGTGGTAGAGGTTGTTCTTTGGGCCTTGTTGGGTGGATATGCGTTAACTAGTGAACAGAGAACCTGCATGGAATTCAATAAATTCCTTAAATGCTAGGAATTACAAAATCCATGGCTAAGTGAGCAAGGCAAGATGCATAACAGATATCAGAATATCGGATAATTAGCTATTGTGGTGGCATGTGCTTCCTAGTTATTTGGGAGACAGGCAGGCGGATTACCTGAGCACTGGAGGTCAAGGCTGCTGTGAGTTGCGATCATGCCACTGTACTCTAGTCTGGGCAACACAGTGAGACCATGACTTAAAAGAAAAAAGATGCAAAAAAAAAGAAAGGGTAACAGCTGTTGCCATGGGGTGTTGTTGGCAGCGGGGAGAGGAAGTGGGCATGAGAAGGGAAAGGGAGAGTTATCTCTTTCTTGCATTCCCTTGTGCCTTTTGGTTATCTTTAACCATGTTCAACTATTTCACTTTGAAATAAAGACTTTAATTCAAAACACTCTATGAGATAGGGAAAAGTTTTGGTTTATGCATATCCTATACCTGAAACACTAATCTCTGGAGGGTGGGATTACCAAGGGAAGCTCACTTGTGTTATATATTTCCATTCTACTCATGATTGCATGCATTGTATTTGTAATCCGAAAGCCGAGACTACTATTAAGTGAAATTAAGTTATAGGAATTTCAGTGAGAAATACACACTTCTTTTATGTAACAGTAAAATGTTGGTTTGGTCTCTTCTTTTTTTTTTTTGAGTTGGAGTCTCACTCTGTCGCCCCTGCTGGAATGTAGTGGCATGCTCCTGGCCACCGCAACCTCAATCTTTCTACCTCAGCCTTCCAAGTAGCCAGAACTATAGGTGTGGGGTACCATGCCCAGTTAATTTTTTGATTTATTGTAGAGACGAAGTCTCACCATGTTGCCCAGGCTGGTCTTGATCCCACGGGCTCAGGCAATCCTCTCACCTTGGCCTCCCAAAGTGCTGAGATTATAGGCTTGAGCCACCGCGCTTGTGGTTGCTTCTTCTATTGCCCAGTCTGACACAGGAGCATCAGTTGAGGCTAGGAGTTTGGGAGCAACCTGGACAACACAGCAAAACCCTGTCTATAAAAAATGTTTTAAAAGAACATACTAACATGGAAAAATATTTATAATATTACATTTTAAAATTCAAGCAATAAAAGCATACTTACAAAACAAATAAGCTATACCCAAAGTAAAAATAAATAAATTTTAAAGTAATAATAAATTTAAAGAAAAAACCAAACAAACAGAGGGCTTATTCTCAGTTTCTCTTAATTGCAGATCCTGTAGTTTCTTATGCAAAAGTGTTTGGAACAGTGGGTCAGCATGTCACAATACCCTGCACCTACAGAGGCGAAATCACTTCCATGTGCTGGGGCCGAGGGACATGTTCTGTGTTAGGATGCTTTAATGAACTTATCTGGACCGATGGAACCCGTGTTACCTTTCAGAGGGACCAGCGTTATCAGCTAAAAGGGAACCTTAGGCAGAGGAATGTCTCTCTGACTATAGAAAATGCCGTCCAGGATGACAGTGGTTTGTACTGTTGCCGTGTTGAGCACAGAGGGTGGTTCAATGACATGAAACTCGTCCAGTCATTGGAAATCAGATTAGGTAAGTTTGTCTTCTTTCCTTTGGTAATTCATTTGGGTTAATGGAGTTTTCTATTTGGTAGAGATTTTCCTTTTCCCCTTCTTAGGGAAAGAAGAGGTTCCTATAGTCCTATTCCCTTGTTTTTGGGAAACAGAAGAGCTTTTGTTCGTGTAGATGAAGTTGTAAGACCAAGCATGACTGAAGGTTATGGGTTAGAATCAGAAAACTTATCTCCTAAAGCATCAAGTTGTCTCTTTGTTTCCATGGGAAATTGGTTCCAGGATTTCCTGAGGATACCAAAAGCCACAACTGCTAAGTTTCTTATAAAATGGCCTAGGGTTTGCCTATAACCTGCATATATCCTCCTGAATTCTTTAAATAACACCTGATACAATGTAAATGCTATGTAATAGTTGTTATACTATATTGTTTAGGAGTAATGTAAAGAAAAAAAAGAGACTGTGCTTGTTTGGTACAGATACAATCTTTTTGTATTTTTCATTTTCATTTTTGGTCAGCATGTCTCCAAAGCCCTCCCCTGTCATAGATTCTAGTGAGTCAGCAACAAAGAATGAGAATTCAGGGGCGCTAATTCTGCCTAGGGACAGTCTCTCATTGCTGTGTTAGGGCACAGTTCCAGCATGAGGCTCTTGTTTCTTACAACATGACTAATCCTCAAATTCATATTGATTTCTGACTTTAGCTACGACCACGAGAGCTCCAACAACTAGGGCCACCACCACTACGACGACCACGAGAGCTTCAACGACAACTAGGACCACTACCACTATGACAATCACAGGTGTTCCAGTAGTAACTAGAATCTCTACCTTTACTGCATCCACAAGTGTTCCAACATCATCTAGAGTCTCTGCCTTTGCCCCTACAATGCCATCACTGACGCAGAACAACACACCAGGTAAAACAGATGTGTTTAGGAGCCCAGGAACTTTTTAATGAGAGGCTGTGGACCATGTAGGGTGCTGTGTCAAGGTAGAAGGACAGTCTAGGGTGAGTGATCTTACCTGGTCTTACCTGGCTTTCAAACAGGGGCTCTACAAGATGTGTGTGTGTGTGTGTGTTTGAGTTGGAGTCTCACTCTGTTGCCCAAGCTAGAGTGCAGCGGCATGCTCACGACTACCACAGCCTTGACCTGCTGGGTTCAGGTGATCCCTCTGCCTTAGCCTTCCAAGTAGCCAGAACTATAGGTGTGCGCTACCATGCCCGGTTAATTTTTTGATTTATTGTAGAGATGAGGTCTTGCCAAGTTGCCCAGGCTGGTCTCAAACCCCTGGGCTCAGGCAATCCTCTTACCTCAGCCTCCTGAAGTGCTGAGATTATAGGCATGAGCCACCATGCCCAGCCTTTCCACTAGGATATTTAACAAGGAGAGTGTGGACCTAGCTCAGCCTGGCATGACTCCATGATGGGAAAGCAGGGACTACCAGATGACTAGGGTTGGGGTAATGAGTTCTGTCCTCACAAGGAGCTCTGAAGGGAGATCATTAGTCCATTCTGAAGTCCGTCCCTCCAATTGGTAAGATTTCAATGAAGCGAACGTTTCCTGTTTTTTAAGTACCAGGCACTATGCTGCATGCATTTAATCTACTTTATCCACTATGGATGTGCTTCAATCCTGTTATACACTTGTGGGACCTGAGAGCATCTGAAGTTCATTGCTGGAAGTCATACAGATAGAAAGGAGTTGAGTCAGGATTCAATCTCTGTTCAACTGAGTTGGAACTAGTGCTTTTAACTGCTAGATCGCGTCTCCTACTGTAAGCACTGAGTTTTATGTTTGGATGAATTTATCCTGATCTGACATCTTTACTGAAAAAGCCTTTGTACAACCATCCTGTTTTTCAGGAAAGTCAGTGACTTATGCAGTTTTGCTTCAAGGGTCCTTTAATTTACTTATGTCATGGAAATTGCAAAAGATGCTACTGATATACATGGAAAAGTAAGCATGGAGATTTAAGGACTTCAGAGATTTAGAATATACACGTTCAGTTTTTCAATTCAGCCACCTGGTTCATACTTCAAATTCCCCATAGACAAGAGATTAGATTTAATACAAATGGAGAGCTTGGCTTACAGGTGGGGAAATAGCTTGTCATTCTGAGGACAAGTTGAGGTTCAAATCTTCTATTTCCAGGGATAAAGAGATAACTTTTAGTGGAGATTCTCAAAGCCCCTCAAAACCCTTTGACCCCCGGAGGTGGCTCTGGATTCTGAGGAGTAACAGAAATGTCGCAACCTCTTAGACAGAATAACCTGATGGAACATATTGATTTCTCTTGACTCCTGTTGAACCATGCGTGTATTTAACTAGGACGGGGTCTGAGGGATTGGACTGTGAACTGAGTTTGGAAGAGAGGGCTTTAGGTCATACCTGGGATTTTAGAGCCACAAAAGTTTGTAAGAAAAACAGCTTTGTTCCATGCAGCTGCACACACTAGAGAATATGTTAGACTTTCTCAAGATTGATTTAACTTTTTAATACTTACTTTGTGCCTGCTAAGGTGGATGGATTAGTGAACTTGGATTGGAAAACATGCCTAAGTTATGGACTTGGTTTAAAGCTGAGATTTAGTAGAAAAGTGTTGGCTAATATATCCATATGACCTCCTGAGGGTGGTATTAATTATGTCTTATGCTTATCCTGAGAGTTTTCTACAGTTTAGGGTTGAGCTTTACAGGACTGGAAGGAGTGAGCACTGCAGCTAATTGAATGCAGGGACATTTATCTTTATATTCACCACTCCCTGCAATCAGTGCCTCTAGGACATGGTAGAGGCCTAAAGTGTTCTTGGAATGTTTGGATGTAAGGTTGTAGGAGCTGGGGAGAAAAGAAAGGTCTACGAACACCCAAACTCCGGAAAGAAGTTAAATTCAAGAGGTCTTTTGCACAGAGCAAAATTGTGCGAAGACTGGCCATCTGACTCTTTCGTGTGATACTGTTTTGAGTTCCACAAAAGAACCACATCCTCTTACAGGTGTGAGCATTAGAGGAAAACAGGAAAACAGTTCAGACCATAAGAAAGGGCGATGTTGAAATATGACGCTCTCGAGACTGTGTTGGGGAAGGGGAAACAGACCAACTGACAGACTGGTGAGAGACAATGAACAAAGCTCAGGATCGGGAATTCTCATACAGCCTCAGCACTCATTTGCTCTAAATGTCTGTGGTGCCCTAAGTGGAGGGAATCAGGTAAAGACCCTATAAAGAGGCAAGGGATCCAGGCTACAGATGAGGTGAGATGTCTGGTAGGAAATAAAGGAGAGGTTTCAGGATAGGCTGGAAAATACAGCCCTTACCAGAGAATTCCTATTGGGAAATATTTTGGTGAAAGGTACAAGATGAGTCAGAGAACACAGAATATCCCCCTTGACTAGATGGCAAGTGCAGAAGAGGCCAGGTCAGGCTCTTCCAGGAAGCTTGCTTCATGGCTTGCAAATCATTACCAAGGCCAAGACATTGAGCAATACTGTCAGTTTGAACAGATCTCCCGGAAGTAATATCTTGAGTGTCTCGTCTGTGTTGGTTAATATGTGCATCTTCGTGGAAAGACTTGTGAATAATTGAACTTGAATAAAGTCAGGAAATCCAGACCAGGGCTGCTATGAAGCGGGGAGGGCAGGTTAGTGAAAATTCCCAGGCCCTTTTCCCTGAATGTGAAATGTCACTTGTATGAATAAAACAAAAGCGTCATTGGTTGTCCAACATAAGATGTGCTGTTGTAGGCTTTGTATATGTAGAGGGAACCTAGGAGTATAGAAAGTTAAATAATCCTGTCTATTGATAAGAGTGTCTAGAACATTATCTAGATCTCATTTCTTTGTGATAATAAAATAACGAGATATCTGGGCAGTGCTTCAGGGGCAGTTTGCAATATATTTCCACGAGCAGTTGAAAGGGTTAGAAGTGGGTGGTGGGAGCCATGCATGTCTCTTGAGGAAGTCTGGGCGAGGGTCCCATAGAGAGTTGATGACAATTCCTGGGGGCACAAATTTTCCTTCCCAGATGGAACCCATTTCTTCCCTTCCTTTCATTTCCATAGCTTCTTCAATTCCTCCAACTCAGCCAACAGAAACCCAGCCCATGACCCTGCAGGACACAACCAGGACCTTGGGGACTGAGACCACCGACTCACCATTGTCTCCTGGCACAACAGGTATCTACATTCTCTTCACTGAACCTCTAGATCATTTAACTCTTCTTAATCATTGACATTGTTGTGAGAACTCTTTGAAGTAAGACAGATCTAACTTGTGTGCCAGCACCAGTCACTTGAGTCAGCTCTTTGACTTGGACAAATGTCTACCCTTCTGAATCTGTTTCATCATTTGTAAAGTGGATGTAATATCAAGGATCTTATAGAATGCGTCTGAGGATTAAGTGAGATGTAGGATTGGGACATAGTCACAGGGGATAGGTGATAGATTTATTTATTTGTGTGTGTGTGTGTTGAGTTGGCGGAGTCTCACTTTGTAACCCAGGCTGGAGTGTGGTAGTATGCTCACAGCCACTACACCCTTGATCTGCTGGGCTCAGGCGATCCTTCCGCTTCAGCCTTCCTCATAGCTGGAACTACAGGTGCACGCCACCACCCCCAGCTAAGTTGCCTAGACTGGCTCTGCGATCATGAATGGGATTTGTGCCCTTGAAAGAGCTCCAAGGGAGCTTGTTTGCTGCTTCCCCATGTGAGGACCAGTAAACGGCACCATCCACAAGGAAGAGGACCCTCACCAGATACTCAGTCTGGCTTGACCTTGATCTTGGACTTCACAGACTCTAGAACTGTGAGCAATAAATTTATGCTTATAATGTGGGGTGTGGTGGCTCAGGCCTGTAGTTTCACCATGCTTAGAGTCCACTGTTGGAAGAATGCTTGACCTCAGGATTTCAAGATCAACCTGGGCAACATAGGAAGGTCACATCTCTAAAAAAAATTTAAAGAAATCAGCCAGGTGTGGTGGTGCACACCTATAGTCCCAGTTACTAAGAAGGTTGAAGAGAGGGGATTGCTTGAGTCCAGGAGTTTGAGGCTACAATGAGCCACGATTGTGCCACTATACTCCAGTTTGGGTGACAGAGTGAGATGCTAATGGAAAAACAAATTTTGTTTATAAATTAGATCGGGGCCTAAACGATTTTATCTTAGCAGTCTGAACAGACTAAGACAGATGGATTGAGGACACCAACACCAGCATCAAAGAGGCAGGCATGTCCCACTGAGGTCCTGCCACTCCTTTCCACACAATCTTTCCCACTCCTCTGGGGCCTCCTATAACCTCTACTCTGCAGGAAAGTGAAACGGACCTATCTTTCCTTATAATGCAGAGAGGTGCTGCTGAATCCTGTCCTCTTTCCAAGCTAACCCTTGTTGCCCATGGTGGTAAATTCTGGGAGTACCTGGTGCTGAACTTTATGTCCTGTCGAGCTGTCTTAGGTGTCCTCCTGTGGCGTCCAAGTAAGGTCCCGCCTTGCAGGACTCGTGTGAAGATTCATTGTGCTCAGGAGTTGCCAGTCTGCAGGCAGCTGCTCCTGACCCCGTAGGGCTGACCTTTTGCCAGTCTTTCCTGGAAGCTGGTTCGTTTAAAACGGACCTGCAGTGAGATTCACAGATGGACTCACTGTTGGGATTCCATAATGGTGACTTTTGGTTTTGAAAGCGGAATCCATAGTGAAAGCTGTTTCCGGGCACAAAACACAATGCAGATAGAGAGAAACCCAAGGTAACAGCAGTGAGAGCAGCTGCACCCCCCTCTTGTAGGGCATGAGGAGGAAGAAGGTGGGAGTGGGGAGTCTGTCTGTAAAATATCATGTCACCGAAACCTCGTCACGATAGGGCTTTGCAGGATGGAACAGGTAGTGGAGCAGCTGTGTCTCCAGGGCTCGTGAAACTGCTGCAGTTGTGACCGGGTATCCGAGCCTCTTGGGCTCAGTCCTCACTGGGCCTGTGTCAGCCCTCAGTTGCCTGTAGCCTCATAGAAGCAAAGAATGTTAGGTCTGGAAGGGATTTTGGTTGTCCTGTGGCCCACCGCCTTTGTTTTTTTTTTTTTTTTTTTAAATTTGGAA